CGCCCCCCTCGAGACAACTACCGCCCAGTCTAACCGCATTCTGGGAGTGGGCGTTCCACGCCCCCCTCGAGACAACTACCGCCCAGTCTAACCGCCGCAAGCTCAAAATGCGAGCCTCTCATGCTCGTCTGACTTTTACAAGCCTTTGCATCGAGACGTGGGGTTTCTACGCGTTCCTCGAGAAGCTGGGAAAGCGTCAAGAAATGTTCTGGCTTGGAGGTCAGCCTGGCAAGTCCCCACGCGGAGGCCGACAGCCCCAGGGACCTATCGCTGAAGATCTGATGGTCCTCCACGATAAGGATCCGGCCCGGTACGAGGCTACGCTAGAGAACGCCCCCAATCCGGCGAAGATAGATGCTTATGGATATCCCCAAGTGCTCTCCTTCCTCGAGTTCACCGACGCCTTAAATCCCAAGGTCATCGCGAAGAATCGCCTCTCCATGACTGCGTTGGCACGTATTCGGCAGGATCTCACGTCAGGAATCAAGCTCAAGACTTCATGGATTATCAATCCGAACGTCGACCCTTGGAAGGCTCTTATCAATTACGGCGGCGTCAAACAGCGCCAACTCGACGTTATGGCCCAGATAGCCGACCGGACTTACGAACTCCCTTCCATCGACCCGCCCTCTCAGAGGGAACGCGATCGCGAAGACTGGTCGGACTTCGAGGACGCCGGAAATGACGACGATCAAGCTGCCTCTTCTAGCGCAGGCTCAGGCACGCCGGCTCAAGGTGATGACGGGGACGCCAACGAGGATGACGAAGACGGAGAAGACAAGGGCGACGAAGTCGACGACGAAGAGGACAACGGTGGCGACGAGAACGACTCTCCGAACGTCCACGTCTTGTGATTCACAGTGTTCGGCCCTTTTCGTCGAGTCTTATGCCCCAGCTACCTCTTAACTCCATTCCAATCTCAGCGTTCATTCCCATTTCACACCTTGACTCCTTTCTCACTCGTTCAGACGCCCTTTTTATCATGTAGTTTTTTGGCACGCCGACACGCGTCTCGTTCTTCTTGATTTCTTCCGCTCTTATCACGTCACCGTTCCGATGAGGCAAACCCCGCCTCGTTCCAAAGACCTCACTTCGAAAGCACTCCGCAGGGATACGACACGAAGTCACCCCAATACGTACAATATAAACACGCACTCATGCTCAGAGACTCGCAAGTCCACAAGCACACTCCTCGGCGTAGCCACTATGCCACGCCCGTTCCAGCTGGCCTCCGAGCCGACTAGAACATCACTTCCGCGTCGTCCACGTCCGCGTTGACCTCTACCAACCGGACGTTCCGACGCAACTCTGGCAAACCTTTCCTCTTACGGTCGGCGTCCTCGAAAGCCCTGATTAGCGTTCCAAACTCAGGCGCTAACGCCGCCCGAGCCAGCCAGAATGTCTCGTACGTAGCCGTTAATACTAGGTACTGTAGTTCACGCTTCTCGACTCTCTTAGCCACAATGTCCACAATGGGCGATGACAC